ACGGTGGTGACTCTTGCTTCCGCGACATTTCGCGAACCAGCGTTAAACAGTCAGTTCCAGATCCACCGATCACAGAACTGGCGACTCTGCTGGGGACTTATTCTAAAGTGAGGTATACCTTAGGGTTAGTTCATAACTGTGTTTTCAATTACTTTCTTTGCTTGCTTTATTATTGTGGGACTGTCTCGGGAGTTCTATAGATCCTAGCCCGGATCTGGGGGATACCTTCTTAGAAAGTAGCAACAAGGCTGTGAGGGAACTGTTCGGGGTATACCGACATGGTTGAAACAGTCTGCTACGTTGATGTGGCACTTTGGTGTGTACCGGTAACCCTTGAGTTCAGTCAAGGAGAGTACGGGGCCTCCGCGTGGTGTCGTGAAGCATCAACAGACCTTAGGAACCTTAATTAAACTATCTTGGCCTCTTTAGGGTAGTGAGATAACTGACTTTGGTGCAGTCCGAGGTTGGTTGATACTCGATATTACACTCAATTGAGGGTTGCTTTCCTGGAATATTTCGGTCGCCAGTTCAGTGGCTAAATCGAAACGATGAACAATGAAAGCAATCCCGTGATATTGGGACCCTTAGAACCCGGTTACTTCTAATAGGACAGGTTGAGCCCACCAACTTCAAGAGGGTACTACCCAGACCCCATGCTGGCCTAAACTCTAAGGGCTTTCTCTTGTGTGACTTGTGTGCCTTCGTACTTGACTACTTGCATGCTTTATCCGACACATGAACTACTTGCAGGTTTTGTTTTAGTCCTTAATTGGGACCCATGACAGGGCCTACTAAGTTTCTTGCAGGTGTTGTTCATAGTCTTTAATTGGGACCCATGACAGGGCTTACTAAGTTTCTTGCAGGTGTTGTTCATAGTCCTTAATTGGGACTCATAACAGGGTTTACTGAGTTTGCTTGCAGGTTTTGTTTATAGTCCTTAATAGGGACTTATAACAAGGTTTACCCATATTACTCCATGCATACCATAACATCATACCATTACATACATCCTAACCCATTTCAAGGATCTCAAGGGTCTGTGGTGCAGGTCATGATGAACCAACTGTCCAGCAAGGGGCAAAGAGGATTTGTTTTCCTCTAGACAAAGTAGTCAGGGGCTATGACCCACTTGACATGGTGAGCTCTGACTCTTGAAGAAGGTTCCCCTAACCAAGGTTGTTTGGAAATCAAAACCAGACATGATGACTAAAGTCAGGGGCTATGACCCACTCGATATGGTGAGCCTTGACTCTTGAAGAAGGACTCCCTACAACATGCAGTTCCTTCCATCAAGCTACAAAATGCAAGCTCTAACAAATTTCTTGTTTACCCCGCGAGATCCTTGAAAACATTACATGCATGTCATACACATCATTACATAACAGGTATCCTTGTTGCAGGTCACTTACCTTTCTCGCTGTTTATTTCAGCAATGGATTCCCAACAAGATAACCAGGACCTTCTTGCTCAAGAGACTCGGTTCGGGGAAATCCTCCTGAATCTATCCAAGGGGCAGGAGGAGCTGAGAACACTTCTTATGGAGACTCTGGTCAGGAACAGCGCTGAGGACGAACGGCTGAAACATCTGCAAGCTGAAGTGGATGCAATGAAAGCCCAGATGCTGGGGCAGGTGACTGCCATTCAAGGTTTAGCTCAAAGACAAGAAGAGCTCGGAGTTCTCATCAACCAACTGCTTCGGGGTAACCAACTGGGGAAAACATCTAAGGTTGAAGGGCCAGTCATCATCCAACCATCTTTGATACAAGGAGGTAAGGAGAGAGCTCTTCAAATGGCTCCAGTGCCACAAATTCAGCATCAACCTCACCAGCTTCAGCTAGACAAGCCCAGGAGGCAATTCACCCAGCTCAACATGTCGCTGTTTCAAGCTTTGCAACGCCTATTGAGATTGAATTTGATCACATTAAGGGCTCATCCCCGGAACCCCAACACAACATCTCCTGTCTATCATCCCAATAAAAGGTGTGACTACCACTCTGCCAGTCCAGGACATGATACAAATGAGTGTTGGGCTCTGAAGAACAAGATCCAGGACCTGATTGATGAAGGGGCATTAGAGTTCACACAAGATGGTCAGGCTGAATTTTTCTACCATCCCTCCAAGGCTCACCATTTGAAGTGACAAGCCCTGAGACTAGAAAACTTTTGTTCATTCGAATGTTCAAGTTGTGTTGTTCTTTGATTGTTTAAACATTTATTCATGTTAAACATTGTTATTCCATTAATGCATCGCATATGTCTGTTTTGAATCAATATATTCGCATTCGCTATTTTCAAAATTGCTTTCATTTTTTGATGTCAACTCTCAATTAATAATTCTAAGCCGCTTGAGGGAGGATGACGAAAACGATACCACAATCTACAGTATGCTTTTGAACAGACCCCGCTGATGAGGTACAGACATTGTTTCAATCCCTAAACACTGGAGTTATAAGGATGATAATCCCTCGTCAACCCCTCTGAGCCAAAGAAGTAGGAGTTTTTCTTTTCGAAAATTAAAACCCTTTATCATAACCTGGGGCAGGGTAGTTCTCTCAATTGATCCAAATGCATAACAAATAGCACCAAAGAGGTCCTTACAAAAAGAAAAGACAATGATGATTCCGAACAATCACAAAGAAAGGCAGTCATTATATCTCAAAAAATCAAAACCCAATAAGTCAAAACCTATGAAGGAGACTTACAAAACTGGGGCATCCCGCTGACTGTAATTCCAAAAAAGGAAACAGTTCAGGCAAAAGAGAAAGGGATAACAAAAATCAGACAAGAAAGAGGTCTTACAAACCCTCAACAAAAAAGGAATGACTGCATATTCAAAATAAGTTATCAACATCCGAATCATCACCGGAAAATCAGAGCAAAGACTCAAACAAGGTCTAACGTATGATCAACTGAGTTTAGGTTTGGAGAACATCACGAAGAGCGGGTGGGTACAAATAATTTGAGCCTTTATCCTTTGTTTCTTAAACCATGAACCAGGCCACGTTATAACCCTTAAAAGTCCTAGCTGAAGCATGGGTTAGTTCGAAAGCATACTGTTACGAAAGGTATCCTGACTCCTTAAGGCTTACGGTAAATACGGAGTTGACATCATGTTTTACAAACATTCACTTGTTTTATGAAAAAGAATACATTTTCAAAATCTTCAAGACAGACATAAGCTTTGCATTTTGACATAACTTTGTTTGCATATGACTTTTTGTTTGAACAGCATAGAAATTCGCACGACGAATATCTGGTTAACAGAAGCATCTCCAATCAAGGGGCATGACATGATCATGGTCTATCATCTGGGGCAGTTGTTGTACCCTAATTTTTGACCTAAGATCTCGCATTCCATCCGCATCATTGCATGGCAAGAGTTCACAAGCAATTTGACCGATTTTTGCCAATTCCCGAGTCAGATTTCAAAAATTCATAACTTCTTCAAATTTCAATATTTTGAGGGGTTATTTTTTGCTATGATTTTTCTTGACACCATCTACAATTTTTCTTTACAAGACAAGAGATGATTATGCATTGAAAAGCCACGGAAAAAAGTTATTAACGTTCGAAGTTGTTTCACGAATTTAATGGAATTTGATTCTTAATTTTGGACTGTGTTTTATCCGACCATAAATTTTACACTTTCTCTTCTTTTATTTTTAATTCCATGAAAAAATCCTTAAAAAAATATTTAGTTCATGTCATCTTAATTTTATTTACATTATTATTCAAAATATCAAAAAAAAGTAGTCTCTTCAAGTTTCATTTAGATTTTTATTCTTAAGTCAAAATTATAGTCTTCTAGATTTAATTTAGTAAAAATCTCAACAAAAAAAAACATGTCTTAGCATTATTTTATTTTTAGCATTTCACTTTAATCACAAAAATATATAGTTAATATCTTTTCCTTTTAATTCTTTTAGTTATTATAATTTTCATTTTTATTTCTTTCAATATTAATCTTGATTTGGTTCTAATTTTAATTCAACTTTTTAGTTGAGTTATTATTAAAATTAAAATTAATTTTAATTTCTCTTTAATTTTCATGTTTTGGAAATTTTTAGTTTAATATTTTTTTTTTTGTTATTATTATTGTTATTATTATTATTATGCTATTCCTCTCCTTGTAAAAAATGTCCAAACAATAAAATCAGTCCAAAACCATGCTATTGTCCCTATCCTAACTTTCCATAAAACCCAAACATGCTACACAACAAAACTTGCTGCTACTTCACTCCAAAACCTGCATAAAAACCAGTCTGCAAACAACCTTTTACTATCTTTGTTGTCCAAAAAGCTTGCCCAAAATGAAACCACAAATTCCTGCATCAAGAAAGCATAAGGAAGTTGACATAAACTAGAATTCAACTGATATTTGGCTCCAATTTTCCCTCCAATTCTATCACACAATCACCATAAAAAAAAAACACTGCCAAAATGCTTTTGAATCACTCCCATTAACTCACAGAGCAATCCTCAAACCTCTATCAACCATCAACCTTCCTCACTACTATCAAACTTCAGCGACATCACCGAACATCACCCGCCTGTCTTGTTCCGAACCTGCTCCACCTACAACTCACAATCATTAACTCACCAACAAATCCCTCTCTCTAGCGCCAGAACGACATACTCCCTCGACAATGTCACGCCTGCCAGCACCCTTTGTATACTTCATCTCCATCCAACATCACCCTTCCCTGTAGCAGCTCCACCAGTAAGAGCTTATCCATCTACTCCCTTCGCAAAACTGCTATGAAAAACAAACAACAACAGTCAAAGAAGCAGAATTGAAAACAAAAAAGGTGGAAGAAGAATCCGTGAAACACCAAACGCACACTCTGTCGTACCCGGCCATCCCTTTTCGACCTTCGTCTCAGACTTTGCTCCTACTTCCTCCCTCGTACAAATCCGACGAAGGCCACCACTCCGTCGATCGCTCAGCCACCACCATCGACAGCCACATACCAACTTCCTATTCATCCATCTTCTTCTCCATGTTTCTGCAAAATCAAACTCAACAACTTCCCTCTCCAATCCGCTCAAGTTCCTTTCATCCCTCACGAAAACCACTCCACCTTCCTCTTAACCCATTAACCCACCAACCTTCATTTCCTCTCGCCATCACCATCGTCGACCACTACCTTCTTCCGACGCCACTTTTTCACTCTTCACCGGCTTCAAAGAACTCGAAGGAGGATTTCTTTCACTTGAGGAAATTGATGAAGCTGAGTACGGTTTAAATATTCCCGATCCTGAAAACCATGACAGGAACCACAATTCTAATCAGAGCAAGAAGTTGAGTAAGCAGAAGGAAGATGGTACTTGTAGTGATGGAGAAACGTTGAATGATGAGAGCATCAAGTCTAAAGTGAAGAAAAAGAAAAAGTAGAAAAGCAGGGATGCAAAAGAAAACCAGAATGTTCAGCGTTTGGATACTGATGCTGATGTGAAGGATGGTAATGAGGAAGAGAACATTGATGAAACTGAATATTATGCATGGAACGAGTTGAGACTTCATCCTCTTTTAATGAAAGCAATACACAAGTTGGGATTCAAGGAACCAACACCAATACAAAAAGCTTGTATTCCGGCTGCTGCTCACCAAGGAAAGGATGTTATTGGGGCTGCAGAGACAGGATCCGGTAAAACACTTTCATTTGGTTTGCCCATTTTGCAACGTCTTTTGGAGGAGCGCGAGAAGGCTTCAAATGGGGTCGGTGAAAAAGGAAGAAGCTGCGGCGCGAGAGGAAGAAGAGAGAAGCATTTAAAAAGCTGAGGTATTACAACCTCCAACCCTAATCTTCTTACGTGTCAATTTTCTTCTTGTTTTTGTTTTGTTTTATTTAATCATTCTTAGTTTTGTTTTAATTGAAATAAGTATGCTGAAAAATGATGGTTGGGTTTGACTTTGGGACCAAGTAATTCCATTAGGCCCATGCCATTTTTTTTTGACACCCTAAAGTTTAGTGTAATAAAAAACACTTCTGGACTCATTTATGATCGGGCCTTAGTGTCTCACTATTACCTCTCTACACTCCTGATCCAATTTTGCTCCCATGATCTAACCTTCTACCCTTTTTCTTTCGATTTTAGTTGTTTAAGTTAAGAGTTGATGAATTCTTTTATTATTTTAGTTATGTTTTCTTTATAACTTTAGTTAGTTAGATAATTTTAAATTAACTAAGTTTAGCTTTTAAAATAAATTTAATAAAACTTGTGACTTTTAATAGTATTTTAGCTTAATTAAATTTTTTAGTTATTTCATTTAGTTATCTTTTCTCGCTTGATTTTCTTTGTCTCTCTAAATTAGTCTCTTATTAATTATCTTGACCTCGTTGTTTCTTATTTGTTTGAAATAATTTCCTCATGATATTCCTTGACTGATGTTGTGATAATTTTGATTTAATTTGTCATTCTTTATTTTAATTAATTTTTGGTTGTTAACTATTTAAATTATTTAAGTACTATTTTGTTTAAATTCTTTCTGATTATTTGATTTTTATACTTTGTTTGTGCCTACTCCAAGGGAAATAATTAAATTTGTTGACTTCACGTCATCAAATACATCTCATACGATTGCGTGAACCCCTTCATTCATTTTTTGCTTGTTTACTATTTTGCAAAACTTAAGATAATTTTCCCAAAAGTCTCCATTTTCAAACTCACTCCTTTTAAGTCAAAACTTCGACACTAGGTCGTCGCATTTTCAAAATCTCGCGAACACCTATTTTTAGCCAAACAAACCATTTTAATCAAACAAACAATTTTAACCAAAAAACAGATATTTCAAAAGGTTCCTGCGGAGTACCGCAGATGCATTGGGTGCTAATACCTTCCCATTGTATAACCAACCCCCGAACTCTCGATCTCTTTCAAAAATGCATTGTATTTTTATTACTTTTAAGTATTATTTTACATTGCATATTTTAGGGTTTTATTTCGCTCTTTTCCCTTTTCCCTTGGAAATAATAAAGCGCGGTGGCGACTCTTGCTTTTGCGAGTCAAGTTAATTAATAGCTTGATCTCCGATTTTCACCGCTACAGAATTGGCGACTCTGCTGGGGAAAGATTGACCTCTTGCTGGTCCATCCCTAAGTGGGTTAAGCCTAATTTGTTTTATCTGTTTTATCATTATTTGATTGTTTGATTATATGTATATATTGTGATTATTTGGGTGTTGATAATATTTACAAAGGACAAGTCCTATACCCGGACTAAGTTACACTTAGGAATAGGACGGGCGGTATAGTCATGTTAACTTTGAGGGAGTAATCCCGAAGAAGGAGGCATGAGATCCCCCACTCAGTGGAAGGCCCTTTTGAACGTAATATTTGTTTACTGAGTAATCGGGAAGACATTATTATTTTCGACCTGGGAGCCAGAGAAGCTGGGAGCTGTAGAACCCTAACCCATCTTGGCCTTTTAGGTGTAGCGCGGAGATTATAACAGAGTAATCCAGAAGTAATTGTTACGCGATGCTACGCTCGGATGAGTTTCTCTTGAGAATATTGCTGATTATTGAGTAATCAAGACGTTGGTAATATCCGAAGGAGGAATGTAGACTCCGGGAACTCTTAGAACCTTATTCTACAGGTGTGATTAAACCGTTAGTACATACCTTGGGGGTGTTCCTTACCTTGACTCCATGCTCGTGACGTTGAACCTTTCGACTTTATTTGTGACCTTACTTGTGGTTTTTGCATAGCCATGCATTCATGCATCCATAAAACCCTTTTCACTTGACTTTGAAGGAAGTTGGAGGTCTTTCTTTGTAAACATCACAAGTTTCGTCAAGCTCAATGGATCTTGGGTGTTGATAGGGCGAAAACCCTAATCCACCAAAATGGATGATTGATCTTGATGATAACTTGATCAATGTTTGGAGCCAATTTAAAATTCATCTTCTATCTTCATACTTTGATATTTACAACTTAATATCTTGAGTTCCTTGAAAATCAAATAAAAACTCTCTTTTGCATATCATGCATCATTCTACATTTTTTGTTTCACTTTCAAAGGTCTTTTTCCGAGTCTTAATTTTTCCTTTGGTCTCACCAGTACAACACTCGCGCTAAGAAAACAGTGGAGAATATCAAGCAAGAGGTTTCTGAACTCCGTAGAGATATGACTATTTTGAAAGCTGGTATGGATCACTCGACTGTTTTGGGTTGAAATTTTGGTTACCGCCCAAGTCAATCCTTCTAGGATGGAGGAAGCGATGATAAAAGTCTTCACTGAAACTCTGAAATCATGAGAAGATGATAATTAATGCGCCTAGTGACTTTCCTGACAAGGTGAATGTGGGAGTGCGTCTAGAAGAAGATGTCTGAAAGGGATGTTTATATGAAGATGGTAGCTCAGCTAATGGTGTGAAGAAGTTTGATAATAACTTTTCCAAGAAGAGAACCAAAGGAAGAAATAATCATCGTCAGAATCATCATCAACATAATCAACAAGTTCCTAATCAGAGGAAAACCCAGTTTGATCCAATTCCAATTACTTATACAAAGTTGTTCCCTATCTTGATGCAGAGGAATTTGGTTCAGACCCGACCTCCACCGAAGGTTCCTGAGAAGATACATTGGTACTACAAAGCTGATTTGGCTTGTACCTTTCATCAAGGTGCTCCTGGGCATGACTTGGAGGGTTGCTTTGCTTTGAAGATTGAGGTTCAGAAGTTGGTCATAAGAGGTATCTTGTCATTCAAGGACGTTGGTTTTGAAGTTCAAATCAAGCATGCGCCGAAGAGTAAACACGATTGATAGTGACTTTGATTTTTGAAGGATGTTTTCGGTAATTCAAGTCCAGATGGAAAGCCTTCCCAGAGTATTAACTTATTTATGCTTTTTGTAATTTTTCTTGTTTATCAAAACATTGTTTGCATGTAAGAACTTGTTTGCATCTGAATGATTATCTTAATACAATGAATATGTTTGTCTTGAAGAAATTCATTCGTTTCACTCATATTTGTTTTCAAATTTTAAATTGCTTTTGCACTATGATACCAAATTGTTGCTCATTCTCTTTCCTAGGCAGAGATTGAAGGGAGGATGATGATCTAAAGAACACAAAATCTCTAGTTGTTTTCTTTTGGATAAAATCTTGCTGATGATGTACAGGCATTGTTTCAAATCCCTAAACACCGGAGATATAAGGAAGATAATCCCTTGCTAACCCCTTTTGAGCCTTTGAAGCAGAAGTTTCTTTTCTATACGAAAAAACCTTGAATTTTAACCTGGGGCAGGGTAGTTTTTAGTTAATCTGACTGAGTGTTCAAAATTCATAAGGAAGATGTTTTTTGAAGAGAAACTATGAGGGCTATCCTTCACGTATAATGAAGCCAGAAGATGTGGAACCACAATGTTATCCCTCATTCATCAAGAAACGAGGCAGTCACAATTCTCTCAACCAGTAAAGACAAGCTAATGTCACAGATTTTGTTCAAAAGTCAAAAATTAAGAGAGAAAAAAAAGAAAAAGCCTGCTAAGTCAAAAAAACATGAAAACGTGTGACTTAGGCAAAATTAAGGCATCCCGCTGGACTATCAATTCAAAAGAATTAGTTCAGGCAAAAGTTAGGGAAAATAAAATTGCAAAGAAAAGGACTGCAAAGAAAAGTCCTCAACAAAGAACAAATTGGTGACTACAAACACGAAGACATGAGGGTGGTTTCTACTCCGAAAGCCTCGTCGTTTCCTTAATCGTCACAAAATCCTTTTGAGAGATGAACGCTCATGTTGAATTAACTGAACATAGGATTGGAGAACATCATGAAGGGGGTGGGCACCGAATACTTTGAGCCTTAAATCCTTTTTTCTAAAACCATGAACCAGACCACGTTACAACCTTCAAAAGTCCTAATTGAAGCAAGGTTATTTTGAAAGCATACTTCAATGAGATAGTGTTCCTGACTCCCATGAATGTTCTAAATAGTTATGTTGGTATCATATGTTTTTCCTATACAAAAATAAATGATGCTCTAACTCGCAAAATTTGTGCGATATCCTTTCAAAATCTTCAAGACTTACATAATTGTTGCATTAGAATTTTCATCCTCATTGTAAACTTTTTCTAACTGCAAAACATTTGTTTGATATCAAGGAAGCTCACATAAGCACCAGTGATGAGTTTATTCTTTTAAGGCTTGAAACTATGTTGAGTAACTAGCGAATCATGTCAAGAAAAAATCATATCCAGGGGCATGTCACCTGAAGACCTTAAGCACGGACATGTTGCTTCTCCCAGTTAATGCTTTCCCAACTCGCTTACTCTTTTGGGGCAAAAATTTGAAGACTTCGTTGTGCCAACTACAGTCAATCCGGGGCAATCACATCGAGATTTATTGAATCTCTCTAAGAGTTTGAAGACACCAGAGCATGGTGAATGCCAGGTATTTTGTAAAATCCTCTTGAGACGATTTCTCCTCATCAACCAGATAGCTTGGGACATGTTAGAAGTGAAGCTATTCGCAATAATTGTCGTGCAACATGCAGCTCATCAGCAGTAAACTTGGGGCATCCAAAATTAATCCCAGGGGCAATCCAGATTTGTCAAGATATGTTTTTCATACATTATCAGAGGGTGGTGTTCAAGTATCTCCAGCTAAGCAAGACTTTTTTCCAGCTAAAACATTGTTTGTGTTGTTATCCTTTCAATGGATTGTTGGCAATAGAAGACTGGACTTTGGGTTTTCTACCTGAAAATATCTTTCTCTCCAAAGAGATTTAAGCCTTGTAAAAGGACTTTGCTCCAATGATGGCTTTTGTTTTCTATCTCCAGTAATGTTATCATCCTGTTGAGGTTAGCCGAATTTCGAGTTATACTATGACGTCTTATCATCTTCAGTCTATCTCCCCTGTCTGTTTTGTCAGCATATACATGACATTCATTTATTCATTCACACTTGCATCATGCATGCACAGTTGTATTTGTTGATGTCATTGAGTCCGTACACCTTGGTTATGTCTATTCAAATAACATATTTGATCTTTCCAAATAGAGTGTCAACTTAAGCAGAAAGTGCGCCTCTTTTCTAATTCCCCACTGAGTTAACTCTCGTGGAAGAATCTTGCTTTAGCTTTCCTTTTCTATCTCTGGATAGGATAAATCCCCATTTGAGTTGTTTCCTCATTGGGTGGAGTCTTGTTTGACTGTTTTTCTCTCCAGTTTATTCCTGGATTGAGCTTTGTCTCTTGTGAACGATACCCTCTGAATATCTCTAGGCTGTGAAACCTAGATGGAAAGTGCATTTATTTTGCAATGTAAATACTTGGTCTCCTCAAGAAGGATTTACTCATGGTTCCCCATTGAAGATGAACTTTATTCCCCAGCAGTGTTATCACAACCTTCTTCTGGAATATCGACATGACAACAAGCGACTGACTCTTTATTTGAGCAGTTTGATTATTTCTGATTTCTTTACGACAAATGGCGGTCTCTTCATGAGCAGTTTGTCCATCCTCGATGAAATTATTGATTCTCACCTCCAGCAATATCTTCATGATATTTTATGGGTATCTTTGAGAAAACAGCAAGCGGCAGTCTCTTCATGGACAACTTGTACGTTATCAACATTTTTAAAAACAGCAAGCGGCAGTCTCTTCCTGAGGCAACTTGTGTGTTATGGATACTCTTGACGAACAACAAGCGGCAGTCTCTTCATGAGGCAACTTGTGTGTTATGGATACTCTTGACGAACAACAAGCGGCAGTCTCTTCATGAGGTAACTTGTGTGTTATTTTTTCTCCTGAAAAACATCAAGCGGCGGTCTCTTCATGAGCAACTTGTGTGTTATGGATACTCTTGACAAACAGCAAGCGGCAGTCTCTTCATGAGCAACTTGTGTGTTAATGTCACCTTTCAAAACAGCAAGCGGCAGTCTCTTCATGAGCAACTTGTGTGTTATTGTTCTCTTGAAAAACAGCAAGCGGCGGTCTCTTCATGAGCAACTTGTGTGTTATTTTTTCTCTTGAAAAACATCAAGCGGCGGTCTCTTCATGAGCAACTTGTATGTTATTGATACCTTGAAAGAAACAGCAAGCGACAGTCTCTTCATGAGCAACTTGTATGTTATTGATACCTTGAAAGAAACAGCAAGCGACAGTCTCTTCATGAGCAACTTGTATGTTATTGATACCTTGAAAGAAACAACAAGTGGCGGTCTCTTCATGAGCAGCTTGTACGGAAAACAGCAAGTGGCGGTCTCTTCATGAGCAGCTTGTACGGAAAACGGCAAGTGGCAGCTTCTTTATGAGAAGCTTGTGGGGTTTTGGCAACAAGTGGCGGACTCTTCATGAGCAGCTTGTGTGTGCTTTAATATTCTTTGAAAACAGCAAGTGGCGGTCTCTTCATGAGCAGCTTGTACAGAAAACGACAAGTGGCAGCTTCTTCATGAGCAGCTTGTACGTTAGTATTTTTGGAAGACAACAAGTGGCAGCTTATCTATTTGAGCAACTTGTGTGTTATTGTTCCCTTGAAGACAACAAGTGGCAGCTTCTTCACGAGCAGCTTGTGGGTTATTAGCAACAAGTGGCAGACTCTTCATGAGCAGCTTGTGTGCTTTGATATTCTTTGAAGACAGCAAGTGGCAGCTTCTTTATGAGCAGTTTGCGGGTTTTTGGCAACAAGTGGCGGACACTTCATGAGCAGCTTGTGTGCTTTGATATTCTTTGAAGACAGCAAGTGGCAGCTTCTTTATGAGCAGCTTGTGGGTTTTTGGCAACAAGTGGCGGACTCTTCATGAGCAGCTTGTGTGCTTTAATATTCTTTGAAGACAGCAAGTGGCGGTCTCTTCATGAGCAGCTTATATGTTATTGACACCTTTGAAAGGAAGCAAGTGGCGGCCTCTTTATTTGAGCAGTTTGTGTATCCCCAACAATAATGTCTACTCAGCAAATGACATCCCTTTCGGAAAAGTCCAATGGGGAAGTTTGTTAATTTATCCTTTTCAAGCGATATCTTGGTTAAAGAAGAAATGTGTTACCGTTCTTGGTAAAATTCAGAAATCAGAGATTTTATTCTCCAGCCACAGTGTTGATGTCAATCATTTTGTTTTCCAGCCACAGTGCTGATGTCAATCATTTTGTTTTTCAGTCACAGTGCTGATGTTAATCACTTTCCAGTCTCAGTACTGATGTCCATCATATGCTTTTCCAGCCACAGTGCTGATGTCAATCATTTCCTTTTCCAGTCTCAGTGCTGATGTAAATCATTTCTTTTTCCAGTCTTCGTACTGATGTAAATCATCTCTTTTCCAGTCTCAATACTGATGTAAATCATTCATTTCTTTCCTCAAAGTTATTCTTTAATAAGAGTCTCTCATTTGAAGTCTATGACTTTGTTTCCCCAGTGGAGTTGTAACCTCTTCCTCTGTGGGATTACTGTATAATGCGCTTGGTTTCTCCAACATAGTCTGTCTCATATGGCGTCATTCCCCATAAAATTCAGAGCATTACATTCACATCATATCATGAATGTAATCGCGGTATCTTAAGGCCAAAAATTGTGTATTCTATATTTAAGTCCCTTCAATCTCGTCGAAATGAAGATCCCAATCTTCATATCTCCAGATAGAAGAAACTTAAATATGGGCAGCTGTTGTACCCTAATTTTTGACCTAAGATCCCGCATTCCATCCGCATCATTGCATGGCAAGAGTTCACAAGCAATTTGACCGATTTTTGCCAATTCCCGAGTCAGATTTCAAAAATTCATAACTTCTTCAAATTTCAATATTTTGAGGGGTTATTTTTTGCTATGATTTTTCTTGACACCATCTACAATTTTTCTTTACAAGACAAGAGATGATTATGCATTGAAAAGCCACGGAAAAAAGTTATTAACGTTCGAAGTTGTTTCACGAATTTAATGGAATTTGATTCTTAATTTTGGACTGTGTTTTATCCGACCATAAATTTTACACTTTCTCTTCTTTTATTTTTAATTCCATGAAAAAATCCTTAAAAAAATATTTAGTTCATGTCATCTTAATTTTATTTACATTATTATTCAAAATATCAAAAAAAAGTAGTCTCTTCAAGTTTCATTTAGATTTTTATTCTTAAGTCAAAATTATAGTCTTCTAGATTTAATTTAGTAAAAATCTCAACAAAAAAAAACATGTCTTAGCATTATTTTATTTTTAGCATTTCACTTTAATCACAAAAATATATAGTTAATATCTTTTCCTTTTAATTCTTTTAGTTATTATAATTTTCATTTCTTTCTTTCAATATTAATCTTGATTTGGTTCTAATTTTAATTCAACTTTTTAGTTGAGTTATTATTAAAATTAAAATTAATTTTAATTTCTCTTTAATTTTCATGTTTTGGAAATTTTTAGTTTAATATTTTTTTATTTTTATTTTTTGTTATTATTATTGTTATTATTATTATTATGCTATTCCTCTCCTTGTAAAAAATGTCCAAACAATAAAATCAGTCCAAAACCATGCTATTGTCCCTATCCTAACTTTCCATAAAACCCAAACATGCTACACAACAAAACTTGCTGCTACTTCACTCCAAAACCTGCAAAAAAACCAGTCTGCAAACAACCTTTTACTATCTTTGCTGTCCAAAAAGCTTGCCCAAAATGAAACCACAAATTCCTGCATCAAGAAAGCATAAGGAAGTTGACATAAACTAGAATTCAACTGATATTTGGCTCCAATTTTCCCTCCAATTCTATCACACAATCACCATAAAAAAAAAACACTGCCAAAATGCTTTTGAATCACTCCCATTCACTCACAGAGCAATCCTCAAACCTCTATCAACCATCAACCTTCCTCACTACTATCAAACTTCAGCGACATCACCGAACATCACCCGCCTGTCTTGTTCCGAACCTGCTCCACCTACAACTCACAATCATTAACTCACCAACAAATCCCTCTCTCTAGCGCCAGAACGACATACTCCCTCGACAATGTCACGCCTGCCAGCACCCTTTGTATACTTCATCTCCATCCAACATCACCCTTCCCTGTAGCAGCTCCACCAGTAAGAGCTTCTCCATCTACTCCCTTCGCAAAACTGCTATGAAAAACAAACAACAACAGTCAAAGAAGCAGAATTGAAAACAAAAAAGGTGGAAGAAGAATCCGTGAAACACCAAACGCACACTCCGTCGTACCCGGCCATCCCTCTTCGACCTTCGTCTCATACTTTGCTCCTACTGCCTCCCTCGTACAAATCCGACGAAGGCCACCACTCCGTCGATCGCTCAGCCACCACCATCGACAGCCACATACCAACTTCCTATTCATCCATCTTCTTCTCCATGTTTCTGCAAAATCAAACTCAACAACTTCCCTCTCCAATCCGCTCAAGTTCCTTTCATCCCTCACGAAAACCACTCCACCTTCCTCTTAACCCATTAACCCACCAACCTTCATTTCCTCTCGCCATCACCATCGTCGACCACTACCTTCTTCCGACGCCACTTTTTCACTCTTCACCGGCTTCAACGAACTCGAAGGAGGATTTCTTTCACTTGAGGAAATTGATGAAGCTGAGTACGGTTTAAATATTCCCGATCCTGAAAACCATGACAGGAACCACAAGTCTAATCAGAGCAAGAAGTTGAGTAAGCAGAAGCAAGATGGTACTTGTAGTGATGGAGAAACGTTGAATGATGAGAGCATCAAGTCTAAAGTGAAGAAAAAGAAAAAGTAGAAAAGCAGGGATGCAAAAGAAAACCAGAATGTTCAGCGTTTGGATACTGATGCTGATGTGAAGGATGGTGTTGAGGAAGAGAACATTGATGAAACTGAATATTATGCATGGAACGAGTTGAGACTTCATCCTCTTTTAATGAAAGCAATACACAAGTTGGGATTCAAGGAACCAACACCGATACAAAAAGCTTGTATTCCGGCTGCTGCTCACCAAGGAAAGGATGTTATTGGGGCTGCAGAGACAGGATCCGGTAAAACACTTTCATTTGGTTTGCCCATTTTGCAACGTCTTTTGGAGGAGCGCGAGAAGGCTTCAAATGGGGTCGGTGAAAAAGGAAGAAGCTGCGGCGCGAGAGGAAGAAGAGAGAAGCATTTAAAAAGCTGAGGTATTACAACCTCCAACCCTAATCTTCTCACGTGTCAATTTTCTTCTTGTTTTTGTTTTGTTTTATTTAATCATTCTTAGTTTTGTTTTAATTGAAATAAGTATGCTGAAAAATGATGGTTGGGTTTGACTTTGGGACCAAGTAATTCCATTAGGCCCATGCCATTTTATTTTTTTTTGACACCCTAAAGTTTAGTGTAATAAAAAACACTTCTGGACTCATTTATGATCGGGCCTTAGTGTCTCACTATTACCTCTCTACACTCCTGATCCAATTTTGCTCCCATGATCTAACCTTCTACCCTTTTTCTTTCGATTTTAGTTGTTTAAGTTAAGAGTTGATGAATTCTTTTATTAATTTAGTTATGTTTTCTTTATAACTTTAGTTAGTTAGATAATTTTAAATTAACTAAGTTTAGCTTTTAAAATAAATTTAATAAAACTTGTGACTTTTAATAGTATTTTAGCTTAATTAAATTTTTTAGTTATTTCATTTAGTTATCTTTTCTCACTTGATTTTCTTTGTCTCTCTAAATTAGTCTCTTATTAATTATCTTGACCTCGTTGTTTCTTATTTGTTTGAATTAATTTCCTCATGATATTCCTTGACTGATGTTGTGATAATTTTGATTTAATTTGTCATTCTTTATTTTAATTAATTTTTGGTTGTTAACTATTTAAATTATTTAAGTACTATTTTGTTTAAATTCTTTCTGATTATTTGATTTTTATACTTTGTTTGTGCCTACTCCAAGGGAAATAATTAAATTTGTTGACTTCACGTCATCAAATACATCTCATACGATTGCGCGAACCCCTTCATTCATTTTTTGGTTGTTTACTATTTTGCAAAACTTAAGATAATTTTCCCAAAAGTCTCCATTTTCAAACTCACTCCTTTTAAGTCAAAACTTCGACACTAGGTCGTCGCATTTTCAAAATCTCGCGAACACCTATTTTTAGCCAAACAAACCATTTTAATCAAACAAACAATTTTAACCAAAAAACAGATATTTCAAAAGGTTCCTGCGGAGTACCGCAGATGCATTGGGTGCTAATACCTTCCCATTGTATAACCAACCCCCGAACTCTCGATCTCTTTCAAAAATGCATTGTATTTTTATTACTTTTAAGTATTATTTTACATTGCATATTTTAGGGTTTTATTTCGCTCTTTTCCCTTTTCCCTTGGAAATAATAAAGCGCGGTGGCGACTCTTGCTTTTGCGAGTCAAGTTAATTAATAGCTTGATCTCCGATTTTCACCGCTACAGAATTGGCGACTCTGCTGGGGAAAGATTGACCTCTTGCTGGTCCATCCCTAAGTGGGTTAAGCCTAATTTGTTTTATCTGTTTGGCCTCTTGCTGGTCTCTCCCCATAGAGTATTGCTTCCCAGCAAGATCGTTAGAGTACTTTTCTCCCCGCGGAGTAATTCATTCGCCAAGTTTATTCCCCAACGGAGTCATCTTCTCCTACCGGCATTCTTGCAACTATCATCCCCCAGCAGAAGCAAAAATCTATCCTTCAACATCAGCCCAGGATATGACTTCCCGGCACCCGTCAAGGATTTACTCTCCTAGACAAAAACATACATTCATAAACATCGCATTTCCATACATTATAGCATGCATATACGCATCATATCTTACAAATCTCATTTACATTGAGAACATCATTGCTTGATCCATATCACGCATTGCATATGACTGACCTTTACCTTTCAGGAAAGATCCAGTTAAGTTCTCAGCTATATCCAAGACCTAGACCGGTTCAGTTAAATCGACCCTAAGATTTTTCTGTTTCTTATCCAGTCAAAGGCCTTCTCTGGTTCAGTCAGATCGACCCTAAGATCTCCCTGTTTCTTATCCAGTTGAAGACATTTCAAGACCTAGACCGGTTCAGTTAAATCGACCCTAAGATTTTTCTGTTTCTTATCCAGTCCAAGGCCTTCTCTGGTTCAGTCAGATCGACCCTAAGATCTCCCTGTTTCTTATCCAGTTGAAGATTTCAAGACCTAGACCGGTTCAGTTAAATCGACCCTAAGATTTTTCTGTTTCTTATCCAGTCCAAGGCCTTCTCTAGTCCAGCTAAATCGACCCCTAACAGATTTTCCTGATGAAGACTCAGTAGAAGATACCCAAGATTCTCTCAATGATTACTGTTGAGGTTGAAGTCGCCTATGGTTCTCTCCCCGTTACTGCGGAGGTAGTAATCATCCCCAAGATTCTCTCAATGATTACTGTTGAGGTTGAAGTCGCCCAAGATTCTCTCAATGATTACTGTTGAGGTTGAAGTCGCCTAAGGTTCTCTCACCGTTCCTGTTGAGGTAGTAACTATCCCTGGTTCATTCATCACCTTTTGAAGATCCAGATCCAGCTCCTGTAACCAGTCAGGACACATCTATACAAAGAATTTGAAGACTAGTTCCTGTAACAGGTCAGGTAATCATTTTCTTTTGCAGGTACGCAAGTTCTCGCTAAGGAATCTCTTACGCGATCAACATCCGGATGGCATCTATAAGCCCATCCACCTATCCATCACCTCTTAGCATGACATCTATAAGCCCATCATCCTATTCATCAATCTCCAAATGGCATCTATAAGCCCATTCCCATCATCACACTACTATGTGAGCGCAAATTTCTGGGCACTCTAGTGTTCAATCCTCTTCCACCTTCGGATTACGAAAGGCACGTCAGCCAATCTGCATCCTCAGGTCTAAGAAGATTGAACAGGGGCAACTGTTGTACCCCAAAATTTTCCCTCCCATATTCTTCAAAATTTGCAAAGAGCAAGCTTCAAAATCTCCCCAAGGGTTGCACAGTTCAAGGGCCTCCTAACAGTCAAAAATTAGGGTTTTGGTTCTGGCAAAGAAAATGAAGTTTCCAAGGGTCCAATCAAGTCCCACATGCCTACAAACATGGTCAAGCATCCTCATACCAAGTTTCAAGACTTACAGCACAAAATTGCACAGTCAAAAACCCGAATTGCACTACAGTCAACTGTAGGGGCAAAATGGTCATTTGACAGTCAAAAGTCCAAATTTTTGATCAACATCTCATTTTGAAGCCACAAACATCATTTGATCAATGCTTGATCATGATTCTCAAAGCTTGGCTCAAAAATTCTCAAGATGCAAAAGTTTCCATATTTGAACAGTTGAAAAAGTCAACTGTAACTTGACCAAGGCATAACTTCCACATGGATTATCAGAAAAATTCCATCCAAAGCTCATTTTGAAGAGAAAGACATTTCCTACAACTCCTCTTCACACTTCAAGTCCAAGAAATGCTCTCACAAAAAGTTATCAATTTCAACATTATAGGTCATTTTCAAAAGTCAACAAAAAGGGGCTTTAAGTCAAAGGCCATAACTTGAGATTGGTAAATCAAAATGACATGGGACCAAAGACATTGGTTAGAGGACTCAAAGACCTTTCCAAAATGTCCACGAACATGAGCAAAGCATAAAAATTGAGCACGTTATGCCTTGTGGAAGTTGGGAAATTTTTGGATATTTTGAAAAGTCAACTTTGCTTCAAATGTCTTAAAAATGCTAATGGGCCTCTTTTTCTTCCAAAATCCATCATCCAAGGCATGTGCACGACCATTTGGCCCAAAGGGAAGTTTTTCATCATTTTTATTTATTTATTTGGATTTTTAATTGCTAATAATTCATTTAATTAAAATAAATATGTGGAAAATACCAAAACAAACTTTTTAAATCTTTTTATGCATGGAATAAGCTCAAGATTTCGTGCATGATCAGATATGGAAGGAATTAAAGTGATTGGCCATGATTTGTATCAAATATGCATGAAGAAATATTGGAAAAGATTCTTGAAAATCAAATCTTGAAAATCATTAAAAGCAAGGCTATGGGCTTGGATTATTGATCAAATTCGTTCTCTATACAAGTGCAAACCTAACCCTAGTGTTCAGGACCTCCCAGCTGCGCCATACATCAAGAACCAAGGTTGAGTTTTTTGTCAAAAATTTAAAAACTGAAAGTGGCCTTAGAGGACGATTCAGAGGCCAAGATTAATCCCAATAGCTTGCAAAAGTGTTACTGAAGCTAACTGAATAGTTTTCCATATCCCTAACATCAAGAATTGGTAATTAAAAGTCAAACTGTGTCCTTCTTTTTGCATAATCGTGTTTTATTATTCAGGCCATATTCATGCATTTTGATTCTTGATTTGTACTAATGAGTTGATTCTGAAGCTAGCAGTATGATTTAATTGAAGAATCATTGCCCATACGCGATTCCACCATGAACGACGCTTAGGGTTTTCAGAACCTTGAATTAGGGTTTCCCAGTTATGGAAAAATTAGGACGTGAGACCTAGCCTATTAGAATCAGGACCTTCAGACAAATCCAATGATGGGGTCGCGCCCAATTTCTGATTACAGACGAGCTAATCGCTATTTTTTCACACTGTATATAGTGGGGGTTTAAAACCCCCGCAATCTTGTTTATTTTGTTTCATGAAAAACAAAAGCCATGGAGAAGATGATGAAGTGTCAAGGCATGGTTGGGTTATTTGAATTTCGCGCTAAAATTCCCACTAACGCTTATTTTGTCTTATAATGTTTATTGGTCATATAGTATACAAAGAAACATAGCAGCTCCACTGGTCAGGCGTGTGATTGGTAATCCCTGGGACCTGGGTTCGAATCCCAGGTCCCCCCTCCCTTTCCATATTATTTTGCTAATCATGCTTATGTGCAATTCTCTTCTAGAGTTCCACCATACTCTCCACATCCAGGCCTTCCACGTGCTTGCTGAGATCAATCAAAGGGCCATAGTTGGAAGAACATCATGGACGTTAGCCAACACACATGCATGCCAGCATAAAAGTCAATAAGGCCAAGGGTTGTTGGGCCTGAATTGCTACAATAATACCTCCCTATTGGGGACAGAACCCCCCAAGGTATTGTATTTCTTTTCTTTTCTTTATTTTGTTTGTTTCAATTATTTTTTTTAATTAATTCCTTTAA